TCTTCTCTTCCTCTCCCCAACAAACAATCCCTTGTCAATAAAGAAAAAAAAGGAGGGAGAGGAAGCAGTTCAGCAAAACGTAACTGATGTATTAACTATATCTGACAGTATATGCAAAATTACACATCCATAGTCTTCCTTTTCAATCAAAGGAGGGAACTGATTTTCTTAACTCTGTTCTACGGCCAAACTGTTTCATGATTGTACAGCATTATTTCTTTTTTGTTGTTCATTCTATTTACATTGTTGTAATCCCCAAGTTTTCCTGGTTCTGCTTGTTTTACATGTCTTCAAATATTCAAAACTGTTATAGTCATCCTTCCTTACAGGTCAGCAATATTCAATTATATTCATGTACCATAATTTGTATAGCCATGTTTCAGTTGATGGGCATTTTTGTTTCCAATTTTTTACCACCACGCAAAAAGAAAAGTATCAGTGGATATTTTGGTGTACATGGTACCTTCCTTTCTGTCTTGATCTGCTTGGGGTATAAGTTTATTGATATAATCTCTGGCCAAGTATGTTCTTAACAATATGTTCTTTTCTTTTCCTTTTTCATTAGTATTTTGTTTTTCCCAATTATATGTAAAGACAATTTTTAACATTCAGTTTTACAAGATTTTGAGTTCCAAATTTTTCTCCCTCCTTCCTTACCCTCCCCTTTCCTAAAGTGGCAAGCAATTTGGTACAGGTTATGTATGTGCAAACATGTGAAACATATTTCCATATTAGTCACAGTTGTGAAAAAAGAAACAGACCAAAAGGGGGGGAAAGCTCAAAAAAATAAAGTAAGTGAAAAGAGTATGCTTCAATCTGCATTCAGTCCATCAGTTCTTTGTCTGGATGTAGATAGCATTTTCCATCATGAGTCCTTTGTAAATGTCTTGGATCATTGTGTTGCTGAGAACAGCTAAGTCATTCATAGTTGATCATCACACAATATTGCTTTTACTATGTACGATATTTTCCTGGTTCTGCTCACTTCATTTTGCATTAATTTGTACAAGTCTTTCCAGGTTTTTTTGAAATCTGCCAGCTCATCATTTCTTATTGCACAATTCCATTGCATTCATGTACCACAACTTATTGAGCCATTCCCCAATTGATGGGCATCCCCTCAGTTTCCAGTATTTTGCCACCATGAAAAGGGCTGCTGTAAATATTTTTGTCCACTTAGGTCCTTTTTCCTTTTTTATAATCTCTTTGGGATACAGACCTAGTAATGGTATTTCTGGATCAAAGGGTATGCACAGTTTTGTAGCCCTTTGGGCATAGTTCATAGTTCCAAATTGCTCTCCAGAATGGTTGGATCAGTTCACAGCTCTACCAACAGTGTATTAGTATTCCAGTTTTCCCACATCCTCTCCAACATTCATGACTTTCCTTTTTTGTCATTTTAGCCAATCTGATGGGTATGAGGTGGTACCTCAGAGTTGTTTTAATTTGTATTTCTCTAATCAAAAGTGATTTAGAGCACTTCTTCATGTGACTGTAGATGGCTTTGATTTCTTCATCTGAAAACTGCCTATTCATATCCTTTGACCATTCATCAATTTGAGAATGGCTTGTCTTCTTATAAATTTGACTCAGTTCTCTGTATATTTAAGAAACGAGGCCTTTATCAGAAACACTGGCTGTAAAAATTGTTTTCCAGCTTTCTGCTTTCCTCCTAATCTTGGATGTGTTGGTTTTGTTTGTGTTAACAATGTGTTCTGATTCCTATATTTTAATCTGTAGTACAGACATTTATGTTCCATTCTCAGTTATTGCCTTTTTTCCCTCATTTTAAAATTCTAAACTTAAATAAAAAATAGACTCTTACATATACATAAAGAACAGAAAAAGAAGGTTGTATATGAAACAATCTTGTCTACAGCTTACTTTTCTTGGTTTTGGGGGGGGTTTTTGTTTGTTTGTTTTGGTTTTTTTAGGTATTTGGGGTTAAGTGACTTGCCCAGGGTCACAGAGCTAGTTAAGTGTCAAGTGTTTGGTCTGAAGTCGGATTTGAACTTGGGTCCTCCTGACTTTAGGGCTACTGCTCTATCCACTGCGCCACCTAGCTGTTCCCTTAATTTTCTTTTAAAATATATAATAAATTCAACATTCAAGTCACTATTTTTTAACTAATTGTTCACTTCTCAGATCTGCTTTTGTCTTCAGTAGCCCTTGTCCTTGATAAGCAGCAGTGAGGAAGACTCCACCTGTGCCCTTAAGGTTTTCAATTTCTTGCCCAAGACTTTGTAATCTTTAGCCATCTTTCTAGATTTCTTCAGATTCTGTCATCTGTGCTCATGTCAGTTACCAGAAGTGGGTATTAATCATCTGGTTTAACCAGTCTTGGGTTACAATGTCTGGGATACATGGTGTACGAAGAGAGGAAATTTCTCTATATTGTTATGAGATTGACAAATAGATGTCTCAGTACCTCTAATCATCAGTGCTACTCTCTTTTGACTTAATAGATGTTCTAACATCTTTGTAACTATGTTATCATTCCTTGTGGTATAAGGAGCTGCTTTCTTTTCAGAGGCTTCAACTCTCTTCTCATTGAGAAGAGCCTTTACTTTCTCTTAGCTCCAAGTGTTTAATGGCCTATTTTCTCCTTCATTTTTTTTTGTGGAAAAGGGTTCATTTTTCCTGAAAACCTCTAGAATGGAGAGTTTTTTCCTCAATCCCTTTTACATTCTCTTTGAGGAGAAAGACCAGCCTGTATTATGAATATTAAGTCACGTAGCCATGACAGAAATACATATGGCTCTGTTTTCCATACTTGCTGCAATTGAGATCTTCAGTTCTTTATCGTTCATGTTAGCAACGCCCTGGAGATTGTCCTTTTTAATGATTTTTAATGACAATTCTAATAATGGAATCTCTGGACCAAAAAGTTTGATCAACTTTGTATATTGCTTTCCATAAACAAGGTGCCCATCTTATGTTCCACCAACTTTGTTTAGAGATTCCTTTGAAATCTGAATGTGTCTCTGCAAACTCGTCAAAGTCTGAAGCTTCTCAAATGTACATCTCTTGCCTTTAGCAAGGTTTTGGAAGGAAAGATAAATTTATTTTGGTACATGTTGAGTTTAAGAGGTCTATGAGATATCCAGTTTGAGTTATCCAATAGGCAGTTGGAGATTTGAGTCTGGAGGTTAGGAGAAATGTTAGGGCTAGGCTTAGTAGATCTAAGAATCATTAACAGAGAAGATAATTGAATCCATTAGAGATAATGAGATCACCACGTGGAATAGTATAGAAGAGAAGAGGGCCCAGTCTGATGTCCTGGGGAACACTCATTATCTGGGTGCTATGATACTATTATTGCTGAGTGGTTCCTCCTTCCCATTCTTCCTCCTGGAAATTTAAGCATTTTTCCTTGTTTTTGTAAGGAAGGACACTCTGGCAACATGATCTGTATAGACATGTTGAATATTGGTTTCTTCCTGCCCCAAATCTTGCTCATTTTTTCTCTATTGTTAGTAGCTTATTCTAATTCTTAAAAAAAAATTTCCCTGTTGTTTCCTGAAATATAATATTGAGATTTTTTAAAAAATTCTGGGATTTCAGTAATTTGGAGATTGCTATATTGTGACCTGTTTTTGAGATCTGTCATTTGAATGTGTCTGTTTTCCAGTTGCTTTGCATTGTGAATGAATGGAGAAGTGTTTATAAGCACTTAATATGTGCAAAGCAGGGCAGTTAGGTGGCACAGTGGATAAAGTGCCAAGCCTGGAGTCAAGAAGACTGATCTTCCTGAGTTCGAGTCTGGACTCAGACACTTACTAGCTTTGTGATCCTGGGCAAGTCACTTCACCCTCTTTGCCTCAGTTTCCTTGTCTATAAAATAAGCTGGAGAAGTAAATAGCAAACCACTCCAATATCTCTGCTAAGAAAATCCCGGATGGGATTATGAAGAGCAGAACATGACTGACCAACAAAAGATGTGCAAAGCCCCGTGTCAAGCCCTCAGTATACAAATAAAAAAGAGACAGTTTCTGCTTTCACGGAGTTTACATGCTTCTTGAAGGTGGGAGGGAGACAGCACATAGGATGGTTCAATTGTAGGGCAGAGTTGGTAAGGCCTATTGGTCTGTGTCTTATTAGGATTGTAGTTGGTGACTCTCTTCTCACTGTGAATGACCATATCCATTCCATGGGGAAGTGAAGGTGAAGCTGGAAGAATCTGAACCTCATGACCACTGGGAAGAGAGCCAGGAGGCTAGAGTTTGAATGTCCTTCCCCTAGTGATGGGGCTGACCTTCAGTTGAGAAGGGAACCTTGGAAAGAAGGAGTAAGGGGAGAGGGAGGACACTCATAGCCTCATCAGTTCTATGTCTTCTAGTCCTTTTTTTCCCCCTTTAACCTTTTAAAGCATCTGTTCATTACATCTGTAATTCCTCCTGTAACTCTTCAGTTTCTTCGAGGTATTCTTTTACTTAGGCCTTAAATTTTCTTTTCTTTCTTTCTTTCTTTTTTTGGCAATTGAGGTTAAGTGACTTGCCCAGGGTCACACTGCTAGTAAGTGTCAAATGTTTGGTCTGAGGCCGGATTTGAACTCAGGTCTTCCTGACTGCAGGGACAGTGCTCTATCTACTACGCCACCTAGCTGCCCCTAGGCCTGTAATTTTCTTACCTCTGTCATTCACTTGAATATGTGTCTCAGGCTATCTTCTTTTTCCATCTGTGATTCTCATTCTTTAGCTATATGAATTGCTCTGTGCTATTTTTAAGTGGATGCTTTTTGTTGCTTTCCTCATTTTCCATTATGTGTGTGAGAGCATTTTTTCTTCTCATAGTTGTTTCTCTCCGTTTTTAAAGGAAAATAAGGACACTTGTTCCCTTCAGTCTTCTCTCTCTGCCATCTTGACAAAAGCCTCTACTCACAAAAAGCTGTAGTTATACCTTAGTAGTATTTTTAGCACTTTGCTTATAAAATGAAATATTTTTCTCATTATGGTTGGGATATAAATAAATCCTAAATTCAAATTTAACTTCTGTCCTAGATTCATCATGTCACTCAGAATGGTGGATTGTATAAAAGACCATTTAATGAAGCCTTTGAGGAAACCCCAATGCTTGTTGCTGTGCTTACATACGTGGGGTATGGTGTCCTGACACTCTTTGGATATCTACGTGATTTCTTGAGACATTGGAGAATTGAAAAGTGTCACCATGCAACAGAAAGAGAGGAGCAAAAGGTAAATGAGAGTTTTTGATTCTGCAATAAAAGTTCATTATGAATTTTTTTCTCCTTAACCTTTACAAGGATTGTTTTATTATTCCAGTTACAGTAAAATGAAAACATTTGGAGCCAGATCAAGGTATAAAGGAGTTAATGACACCTAATGGGGGAAAAAAAATTAAGTAGAAAACAACTGTGACCACAATAGACCTCCCAATTAACAAATAAATTGTGTTCCATAAGTTGATTTGTACATTGTTTTAGAATACTTCCCCCCTGAAACAAGGCTATGATTAATGGGTTCCTAGGCTAACCCAAAGAAACTATGCTATTAGTGATGATTTACTTTCATGGCCAGTCCACAAATGGCTGGTTTAACCCATACTGTAGCTTGAAATACTATATATTTGCCCTATAAACATAGCACAAAACAACGCTAATATGTTATTTGTAATCCAGCCAGTATGTATTAAGTGTCTACGCTGTGAAAAGTAATGTTCACAGGGGAGGATGCTCTTTTTAAATAAAGGCATGGACGTGGTTTTTAATAAATGCATGGAGCTTACAGCCCCTGTGGAGTCTCTATAGTCCAATAAAAATGTAAATTCTCATAGTACATATGGCAGACTAACACAGAGACTGATATCGTTGATTCAGCATTTTAAGCCATTTATTTATGCATCATTTGTTTACACATTTATCCATCAGTGGATAAATAAATGTTTAACCAATTGCAGAAAACAGCTGAATAGAAATTAAAAAATGAATCACAGCTGATGTGATTTTGTCACAGATACATTGTCAAGCAAGTCAGAAAAGCAGCTCGTCTGAACAATCTATGTACACAAGCTATTCATATTAAAGATTTAACAATTAATTGGAGAAACAATTAAGTTTAAGGCAAGTATTTGTTCAGTAAAAAGAGCCTGAACAAAAGAGAACAAAATTGAATATGAATAATTTTTAATTTAGTTTATTTAGGTACTTGAGCGTACATGCATGCTTTTCTTCCACTGGCTTTTTCCATTTCCCTATCAGCCCCAAGTGGACTTTGTTTTACTTTTGCTTCCCACTCCATTAAGTACCACTTGCTGGCCAGAAAGGTTGGCTTGTTGACTGGCTGACTGCCATAGCCCTACCTTTTGGAGGGCAAATGGGAAAGTAAATTTAGTAGGCAAGGAATTCTTCTTTGTATGCACACTGAACTCCAGGAGTGGCCAGAGAAATTGCTATTGGGAGCCCCAAGGTAGTGAAGGGACCCTCTTTGCTCTATGGCCTAATTCAGCTGTATCTTTATACTAGTCTTTACGATTAACTGCCTTCAAATTAATTATGTAGTGAAAGGATGTTTTATGGAAGACTTTTTTCTTGTTGTAGGTTGATTTAATGGTGTTTATATTTTAAGGTCTTACCTATGCATGCTATGAAATGCATAAACTATTGTTTTGGAAGTTGAAGGGCAAAGGTATAGCATGAAAGCTACCCAAAAAATAGGGAACAAGATCTTTCTACACAAGGAGTTTGTAATTTATTTGTGAATGTTCTATAAATCCATGTTGTGTGAAAGTGAATAAATGGATTTGTAAAAGTATATTGCCACTCCTGGGAAAATTGAGTTGTGTTTATTTTGGTAGAGCAATAGCTTCTCCTTTGTATGAGAGACAGTGCATTATTACAGAGTAAATGAAATAGATAAGCCCTGATGTCTACAAGTTTATAGTGTAAACCCAAGTCTGATTTATCAAAAAAATGAAATAGAATACTTGTATTAGTTTATAGGATTAAGTTATCTCCCAGCTTTTATTAGCTAGGAAGCATATAGATTCCACCATGGAGTTATAATTTAAATTGGTAAAATGTGGCACGCTTTATTGTTTTGGTTCTTTTTGCTAAATAAATGCTTGCTTTAAACTTAATTGTGTCTCTAATCATTTAATTCATAATCAAATAGCTAAGTACATAGCTATTCAGATGACCTACTTTTCTGATTATTTGATAATGTATCTGTGACATAACCATATTAGCTGTGATTCATTTTTTCAGTTATTTTCTGCTGTCAAAGTAAACTTTATCTTTTGATAAAATGGCTGAAAACATGTAATCAGTAATATCAGTCTGATGGCACTAGGATAGAACTAGAAATATTGGATGGAACTTTCAGAGAGATAGATAATATTATATAAGAAAAAACTTACTAACTGTTAATGCTGTTAAAATTAGAAGGGACTGCCTGGTAGGTCATAATTTTCTCTTTGCTAGAGATCTTGAAGTAAAAGCTGACTGAACATTTGTTGGAGATGTTGTAGAGGCAACTTACATTGTACAGTTATGGGTTGGATTTAAGGTACTTAATTATATGGTTTTATATTTACTAAGCAAGGTATAAATAAGCATATTCATATGTTTATGTTGAGGGTGGAAGATTTTTTTTTTAAGGCAATGGGGATTAAGTGACTTGCCCAGGGTCACACAGCTAGTAAGTGTCAGGTGTTTGACCTGAGGCAGAATTTGAACTAAGGTCCTCCTGACTTCAGGGCCCATGCTCTATCCACTGTGCCACCCAGCTGCCCCTGAGGACGGAAGATCAAAGTAGTAATTTGAGTGGAATGGGGTGAATCAGGCAATGTTTCCTGGAGGTGTGAATTTGGAAGGAATAGAGGAATTGGAGAAAAGGAAGGTTCACAAAAAAAAGTCTAAATCTTTGTAGCATTTAATTTTAGCTATTAATCATGAAAACATTATTTTGGTCTTAAGCTAAACTAGCTCTAGAAATTTCTAAAAGTTATCACTAATAGAGAAAGTTCTTAGGGACCACAGACCTCAACATTATTGTTGTAAGAATAATAAGAAGTCTTATTTACATAACCCTTTGAAATAGGTAGTGAAAGAAAGTATTATCCCTTTTTTACAGATGGGGAGCTAAGGGTTAAAGAGGTAACTAGCCCAGGTTCATAGAGAGAGTTAAATGGAATGAATGCAAAGTGAGGTCTTCTTTCTCCAAGATCAGTGTTCCCTCTGCTGTACTAAACATTTTCTGTTTGAGAAGTGGAGTTAGACAAGAGAGGGATTTTTAAAATAATGGACTGTGGAGAGGGGGAGTCATGTGATGTTAGAATGGGTGCCAAATGCGCACTCAATTCTAGCAGATTATAATATGCAAGTTACATGCTATTACCACATCCTGATCTCTTCCAGGAATTTGTATCCCCAACACCTTCTCTGTGTTGTCTGCCATTCCTCCTTGTACACCTAATGTAATAATTCTCTTAAGACAATTGATTCAAGTGACACTGAATTCTTCAGTTAACATCTCTGATAAAGATGTAGTAAGAATAACTTTATACATTTTATACAAATTAGATCTAATTCTTGATAGAGTTCTTTTCCCTTTTAATTGGGTAGAGCTGGATCTCAATCACAAATATTGAGCACAGATGTATAGATTAGACTGTATGTGCCCTCCCAAGATATTGCTTTATCTCTTTTGCAGTAGGAAGGTACCAGGAGTTCAGATACATATATTGTTTTAGGCCCAGCAGGACTTCAGAATTTTCAAAATCATTAATATCCAAATATGAAGAAAATAGAAATTGTAAGTAATCTTGGAATTAATTATTTTGGCTAGTAATCACATGCTTGCTCTACTTTAATGTTTTCATGGTGTTTTTAAATGATTTTATTTCCAGAAATAGGAAGGATGGGATGATAAGGATCAAAGATTTAGAAATTGAAGAGGAGTTAAATCATCTAATTAAACCCCATAATTTTAAAGTTAAGACCAGGGAAATTAAGTGACTTGTTTGAGGTTACTCAGGAAATATCCCTGTCTGAATTTAAGCCTAGGTCTTCTGAGTACAAATCTAATACTCTTTTCACTGCAGTTCTCTGAAAGGAGATACTGGGGAGGGCCTCATATGTGACTACAACCTGGACTGTTTAATTTTCATATACAATAGGAGGAAATAGATCTGATTGTGTGAATAAGGATTCCTGGAAGGATTTTGTTCTTAACTTCCTTCAAAATGTACCCAACAGATACTTTTCTGGTAATTGCTGTTCTAACAGCCTCTTAGGACAATTAATAGCACAGTGTTGTTGCTTGGTGTATTGAGCTATAGGTCCACCAACAGGGCATCAACATGTTTATTTTCCCAAAGCCTCTCAAACATTTTTCATTTTCCTTTTTCATCATCTCTACCACTCTGATGGGTGTGAGATGGAATCTCAAAATTGCAACTTTTGAGGTTTAGTTTCAAATTGCTTTCCAGAATCGCTAGACCAATTCATAGACCCACCAACAGTGCATATATAGTTTGGCCTTCTCACACCCTCCAAGAGCTGTAATTTTCCTTTTTTGTCAGTCTTTGCTAAGTAGGTAAAACCTTTAAATTGCTTTAATTTTGTATTTCTTTTGTTAATGATTGGAATCTTTTTTTTTCTCTCACAATTAGTAGTTTTGGTTTCTTCCCTTGAGAACTGCCTGTTCATGTCCTTGGATGTCTTGTCTACTGGGGAGAGACTCTTCATTTATAAGAAGCTTTTTGGAGTTATGCCTTTTAAGAAGTCTTTAGTTTATACCTTCTAAGAAGTCTATGTTTTTGTTTGATTTGCCTCTTTCCCCTTTGTACTAAGCCTGCAAAGAATTAAGTTTTGTGTACAGAATATAAATATAGTCATTGCACTCTCTTGTTACACTTAATAAAAGCATTATTAAGAATATTTTGGAGTCATCAGCAGCGGTTCATCTCAGGTTTTCTGTGCACTTGGTAATTTGGAGCATATCTTAACTTTTAACTTTGCATGTTGACAAATTGTGTCCATGAAGTTTCCATTGAACATCTTTGCAAGTTTAAAGGGCTGATTTTCTGGCTGCTGATCTGTATCCCAAAGCTTAAGATTTGGAATGATACTGGTTAGTATTTGCTCTGGAGTTAAGCGTTAATAGCTAGACAAGTTAATTTCATACCAGAGGAATGAAAATGCCACCTATCTACTCACATATGTGACTGTTGATTA